CCGAAATGGTCTGGTCTCCCAAATCTTTTTGGCAGGGGTGCGTTCAATGAAGCATACAGGCCCGGCCGCACCATTAGGCAAAGCGAGGCAGCAGTCTCAGGTGGCCTTGGATAAGAGGCAGGCAGCAGCAACTGGGGAGCCGAACCGCCTGGCAACCATTCAGCCCGCCTGCTGCCCCCGGTGCTGCCCTATCACCAGAATGGAAAGGGGAGCCCACTCCCAGCCTGGCTGACTTCAGTCCTTGGCAGGGAGGCCATCGTCTCCTTGGCCTCAGGTGGCAAAATGCCTTGGAGGGGCAAGCGAGAGGGGTGGGAGGTGCAGGTGCTCCCAGCTTGGCCAACAGGAGACTTTCCATGTATAAAACAGGATTAGAAAAGATGGCAGAGGAGGAGAGGGCCATCAGTGGACACTAGGCAGGATGGGTCTGCTCTGCCTCCGCAGGTGGAGGCAGGAATTGCAGGGGAGAGCTGCTTGTGGGTTCCCCTGGGCCCCTGGTCGGCCCCTGCGAGAACAGGAGGCTGGACTAGAGGGGCCCCCACTGGCCTGATCCATCAGGTTCTTCTGGCGTCCTTATGTTGTTGTTCTTTATCTTGTTTAATATAATTTCTTGAATTTGTTAGTCCCTTTATTTTGCCCAGAGCAACTTCAAACCAGCACATGCAAAAGCCCAGCAGGTCACAACTGGGTGGTCAAGCAGCAGCAGCAGCACCTAAAGTTAAGGTGAACCCCACTTTTAATATTCACATTGCCCCTGTTCATTGGACTGTCATCCGGGGGGCAGGGGGGCCCTTCACGGTGTTGGATTTCAATACCAATGAAATGCGCAGCATGCTCTGGCCACCCTCCCCAACTCCTGCTTCAGCCAGTCTAGATGGGGGAGGGTGATTGGCCGAAGCCCCAGCAAGGAGACTGGAACACGTGGTCCCATCGGGCAAAGTCTGGATGCATCCTGGTGGCGTCACCCATTAGATTTTGTGCCAGCAGATGGGGAAAAGGCCCACAAAAACCCTCTGCCAGAAATTCCCCCTCCTCCCCTGGTCAGCCAAAGGACTTTCACTTTCCCCACACTGACCACCTTCTCAGGTCGCCCTTGCCTCCCTTCTGTGACTCGGAAGAGAAGCAAAAGGGAGGCTTCTGGGGACAGGGGCTGCAGGAGGACCCAGCCACACTCGTTGCTTCCTGCCAGCAGCCAGCAAAGTCCTCAGCAGGGTCCTCATTCCATGCTGCTGCTACTGCTGCAGACCTCCCCCCCCAATGCCCCCCCTGCTCCCTGCCAGGCCCCATGGCAGCTTCCTCCTCCCCACCTGCGCAAGGAGTGGGACATCCTGCCTTTCACTCCATCTCTCATTCCCTCATGCACTTTGCAAAATGCTGCTGCTGCTCAGAAGCATGCATCCATCTTAGAACTGGAAGGGACCCCCGGGGGTCATCTAGTCCAACCCCCTGCAATGCAGGAATCACAGCTGGAGAATCCCTGGTGAACGACCACCCACCTTAAAAGCCTCCAATGAAGGGGAGTCCACCATCTTCCTGGGTCGTCTGTTCCACAGTTGGGAGGCTCTTAACATCAGAAACATTATTCCTAGAATTTAGGCCCTGGGGAAAGGCTTCGCCTCCCACTTCCAAGAGCCAGCCAAGCTGGGCTTGGAATTGCGGACCCCACCCATTGGGGGCACAGTCCACCTCCTGGGACGTGTAGCAAGGCACCCAGTTGAGGCTTGCCTGCTGGTGAGGGATGGGCCCAAGTGGCAGATCCCTGGCAGTGTTGGCCCTCAGCCCAGAACTCCCCATGAGACCATGGGGTGGATACTGGGGGGACTGGTGCTGGGGGCTCCTGCTGGATGGACTGGGCTCTTAACTACAACTGACCTGCATGCCCCCCCCCAAGGAACAGGAGGCTCAGCACAAGAAGGCAGCTACTGAGGAAGATGGAGGGGTAATGAACTACTTTGCAAAGTGCGTAGGGGGGCCTGCCTGGCTGTGGCTTTCTGGTGGCCCTTTTAATTCATTGGTTCATTCTGAAAATCTGCTCACCTCATCCTTTCAGAACCCCTGAGGAGATGCACAATGTTGGAGGGATGTGAAGAGCGGAGCTCCGACTGCAAGCTCCACATCAGTCATCTGTCGCCCACGAGTGTTTTAGCTGAGCGCTGCCTCAGTACCACCACCCCCTCCCAAAAAACCCCACCGCCTCTGCTGCCCAAGGAGGCCATTCTGCTTTGTCCACTTGCCCCACCAGCCAGCCAAAGGCTCCTTGGACATTCTCTGCTCCCTGTGTCCCCAGGGCCCCTGTCCTCTACAAGGGGGGCCTCTTGACCAAGAGCAGAAGGAGACCCTCAAGGCCCCCTTTGCAGAGAAGCCCTCTCACCAAGCCACACCTCCACCTGAAGCTCAGCAAGCTGTTTGGCGCAACACGCCCTCCCCCCGTGGCCCCAGACCCACTTCCCACTGACCCCTCCCTGCAGGAGTGGGAGAGGTGATGCCATGGGCTAAAGGCTCACAGAGGAGTTTTCCCACCAGTTCCCCCCAAATTCTCAAGAAGGAGGCGCCCCTCAATAGCAGCAGCCTATATAGTGATTGCACTTCAGGGTGTCCAGCGTGGCTCTCTCACTTCCTCTCTGCTGGGATCCTGACAAGCGCCTCGTAAGGCTGATTATTACTCCTCTCTCCATAGTTTAGACTCATCCGTTACTTCTCTTGCCTTTTCCACTGTAGGTACATCTCAAAGTGCTGAGGATACTTTTGCCACCTGCATATCTGGGACCCCCTGACCCCTACAGGGGGAGGGGCAGACCTTTGCAAGAAGAAGGGAAGCAACTGTGTTGTGGGATCCAAGAGATGCGCCCCAAGCTCCACTGCAAAGCTGGGGGCACAGTTTATGAAGTGCACACTGCTTCAGCAATGCTCCTACAAACACACAAGCCCACACCCTGTAAGCCGGCTCTGGGTATCCATGATCTTTGCTAGGCCTTTTGCTGCTGGGTTCAGAGTTCAAATCTTGACAGGATTCCCACTGGCCTGCACTGCAAACAGCAACTGTGGGCACAACTTCTCTGGCTCCCCTCCTCCACCTCGCACAAGGGAGCTGTCATGCACAGGGCTTCCAACTTGCCGACAGCTGACAGCCGCTAGGCGCCTTCTGGGAAAGTCATTACACTTTGCCATTTAGACCGCGCTGGGTCAAGCGCTGGAGCACAGAGCTGGGATCAGCCCCGGGTGTCACTACGGAAAGGGTCCTGCAGCGAGCCCTTCATTGGCACACAGTGGCTGGAGGCCAGCCCATACGTGGGGCAGGCCCCTTGTGCAGCCTCCTCCAAGCAAGTGCCCGCTTGGCCAAGAGTGGCAACGCAGGCCTGGCTCTGAGATGTGGCCAAAACAGGGCCTCTCGAGGTGGCTGTGCCAGCCTCTCAGAGCTGCCCTTGAAATGGGAGGTTTGCACACCAGCAGCGGCCTGGAGCCACGGCCGGCCCAAATGAACAGTGACAGGCAAGGAGGCGTCTGCGTTTTAACCTTCCCCCTCCCTGACACACAGACATGCCACGCAGCAGCAGCTGCCAGGCTCCTGCAGCAGTCTCTGCCCCCTAACCCCTGCTGCAGCCAGCCCTACACTGCAGTCAGCACCTTCCACTCCTTGAGGGATGGGGGGCGGGTTGCGGAGCAGAGTGGGAGGGGGGCAGAGGGAGGCAGTGCCCAGAACCTGATTGCAAGGAGGAAAGTGGGACAGAGGGATGGAGGCTCCCCCCCACCCCCACCCCGCCAGTCAGCTGGTATCTGCTTTGGCTTATGCCATCCTGGCACACTCCCATGCAGATACCTGCAGACCATAACTCCGCACTGTGCCCAAGCTCTGCCAATGGGCAGGAAGCTGCGTCTTCATCTCACTCTCAGCTTCACCAGCTTCCTGCTTTGCGAGCAACAACAAAAAAAAAACAACCCCAAAGACCCCATCTGAAGACTCGGGGCGCCCTGGGATCCGCATGAGGCCACTGCCCGTGCCAGAGCCAGAGGGTGGGCACAGGGGGTCGTGGGAGGAGGGGTGCGCAGCAGGGGGGCTCTGCTTCCAAAGTGGCGCGTCTGTGCTGGCGCTGCATTGAGCCTGCAGTACAGGAGCCGTCACCAAAGCGGCAGGCAGGGAATAAACAGCCCCCACCCGCGAACAGCGCAGCCCCAGCATCCTCGGGGTCTACAGCGGCGCAGGCTCCTGGCAGGCAGAACCAAGGGCCCCCCTCGGCTCAGGCCTGCCAAGTGGGGGCGCTGCTCCCCTCTCCCTCCTTCCCCCACAGTCCCGTCCCTTGCGCAAGAGCGAGTCCCGCGCAGCCCGCAGGGAAACTTCAGCACCGCGGGCAGAGGCGGGCAGGCGGGACGGGGGGGGAGGCGGCGGGACACTTTGCCAAGGGTCTCCTCCTGGCGCCGGGGGGGAGCTCGCTCGCTGGGGCTCGGGCCAGGTCCGCCGAGCCGAGCCAAGGGGAGGCTGTCCCGGGGCGCCCAGGCGTTGCATGTGGCCGCGGCATCCTGGGGTGGGGGGTGGGAAAGCTGCCTTCGCAGAGAGACAAGACTTGCACCCCCACGGACCTCCGGCTGCCCCCCGCTGCCTGCTTCCCACCTCACCAAAATGTCTCCCGAGAGAGTTGCCATCCCCCCCCCCCAACCCACACGCACACAGGCGGAGGGTTGGCGGAGCGCGGCGCTCGGCCAGGCTGGACGGCGCCCGCATTCCAGCACCCTGGACAGCGGCGGCGGCGGCGGCGCATTCCTGCGCGCGGCTGGGGCTCCGGGCCCGGCGAGAGAGAGAGAGCGCGGCGAGAGCGGGCGCTGCGCAGCTGGCGGGGCTCCTCCGCCGAGCAGGAGAGCCGCCGGTACCCGGCGCAGGCAGCGCTCGAGAAGGGGCGCGCGATCCTGCCGGCCGGCCGGCCCTGCCCCGAAGCGGGACCCCGCCGAGGCGAGGCCTCCGAGGGCTGCCTCCGGGCTTGAGAAGCCAGCCCCCCCCCGTGGCCCCTTACCTTGGCTGGCGCCCCCGTCGCCGTCCTCGCAGTCCGTCAGGTTGTTCAGCATGGCGCCCGCCGGGGCTGCCTCGTCCGAGCCTCGCTTGCCTGGGCTCCCCTCGCCTGCCTTGCGCGCCGCTGCAGTGCGGAGCAGAGCCTTCCCCTTCTCCGCTGCCGCTGCCGCCGCTGCCGCTCAGCCCCCTTTCAGTTCATCGTGTATTCAAAAGGCATCTTCTCCGTCAGGCGGGCGAGCGGAGGGGGGGCGGTGGATGAGCTGAGGCGGGGGGGCGCCGAGGTGTAAGCGAGCTGGGAGAGGAGGGGCCAGGAGCGTCCGCCGAACTGCTCGCCACCTCCGAGGGCAGCGCAGATCTGAGTCGGCGGCGGAGGAATTAGGGCATCTCGGGGGCTGGCACTGCGGCTCCCCCCCGCGCAATCCGCCTGCGCGGATGCCGCCGCCTCCTCCTCCTCCTCCTCCTCTTCCTCCGCTCCCACCCCCACCCCCGCATCAGCAACCCAGCACCGGAGATAAGTTTTTTGGGGGAAGGAAGGTACTGTTTACCCAACTGTACGCCCCACACCCCTCAGCCACGCGCCCGTGTCCGCCTTTCCTGAGAGATGGGGCAGCGACAACCCCTGATTCGCAAGGCATTTGGCTCGTGGGAATGCAGGCAAGCAGTTTGAACCGCAGGTCACGGTGCAAAGCGGGAAGGGCCTAGAAGTGGAAGGGGCTTCAGGGGAGCCACCCACCCACCCACCACACAGACCTCCCTCCTGCCCCAAATCATTCCTCAGAGGATGAGAAGGTAGAAGATGTGTCGCCCGTGCCAAACGTATAGTTCGCCCCAGACCAAGCTGATACGGCTATTCACCCTTGCCTTGGCCCCGGAAGCATCCTCATGGTGGCCAGTCAAGAATGCCCCCCCTTCCCATCACAAAGCCCTGGGCGGTGGTGGGTCACACTGTAAGGAGCCCTCGAGTGGATTCCTCATAAGTCGCTGGGAGGAAGAGCAGAGGAGTTTGTGGGACACACGGCCAGCCAGACACAGCCCAGGGCGCCCAGGTCCCTCTGCTCTCTCCTGCCTGGGCCTTGATGGGGACTGAGCCCCAAAGGCGGCACATCATTCATAAGACCATCAGAAAAGCCTGCTGGACCAGGCCAGGGGCCCCTGTAGCCCAGCGCCCTGTTCTCACAGGGACCCAACAGGTGCTGGTTGCAGGAAGCCCCCAAGCAGCATCCAAGCCCCGAACCCTCTCCCCTCCTTTGCTGTCTCCAGCTGTCGAGGGCAAGGCAGAGCCAGAGTAGCGAGGAGCCGCCAACAGCCCTCCATTGCTCCCTGAATTTGCCCAGTCCTCTTAAAGTGACTGAAGTTCCAACTATTGGGTATTTTTAACCTTGCTCTTTAACTTGCTGGTGAACGACCCAGAGTTAGGCCTGGGCAGCGAGGGGGCCAAGTTTGCCAATGGCGCTAAATTGTTCAGGATCACAACAACAACAACAACAAAAGGGATTGGGGGAGCTCCAAAAGGACCTCCCCAGACGGAGTGAATGGGCAGTCAAATGGCAAGAGCAATTCCATGCAAACCAGAGTAAAGTGAAGCACGTTGCCGTAAAAAAAAAACTTCCCCCAGGATCAGTGCCATAGCTGGGGGGCAGTTTTTTGCCCTGAGTGAAGAGGGGCACCATTGAGGCTCCCAGCCTGTGTGCGCGCGCACAAATGCGTGTGCCAAACTGGGTCTTTTGACTTGGCCCCTGTCCCGGTTTTGCCGCTGTCCGGGGTGCTGGACTAGTTCTGAGCCCCTGCCTTGATCCCCGAGGCTCTTCTCCTCTTAGGAGCCCAGGCGGAGCCTACAGGCCAGGCTTGCGGAGATGCCGAAAGGAGAGTTGGGGGTTCGTGTGTGTGTGAACGAGAGGAGGTGGGGCCGAGGCAGGGAGCCGCCTCCCCAGCCAAAGACGCTTCACACCGTGGGCAGCTGGAGTTCATGTGGGTGAGTCCTGGCAGCGGGAGGGGGAGGGAGGAGGGCGCCTGGATCCCAGCACGGATCATGGCAGACGCTGGCACTCATTACTCCTTGACGGCTGTAATTAATTGTTTGCTTCCTCCTGGGCCTTGGCCAGCTGCTCTGCATTCCCGCCCCCTCCTCTCGCCCTGCGGCAAGGCCAGGGCTCCCTATTCCCTGGCTCCAGGGGGCTCTGCTGCATCCGTCCAGGGGGCAAAGCGGGCAGGTGCCGGCACTGAGGTCCGCGGACACCCCCGCCACAAGAGGCACCCACTTGGAGCTGCAGAAAGTGGCACCGCAACACCACAGATTCCTTATGCCCGGTGGTTGTTCTCTCTGGGCGTCAGAAAGGAAAGGGAATTCACAATAGGTGAGGGGGCACACGCTGCTGGGCTTGCACAGGCTGCCCTGCCCATGGGCAAGAGTTCAGGCTGCAAGCAGAGCCCTTCAGAAGCTGGCAGTGCCAGCAAAGAATACAATGCATATTTTTGCAGAGGTGCTGTGTGAAAGCTGGTTTCTGAAAACCCAGAGGAATAAAGGAAGTGTTAGAGATCTTCCTGGCCACCACTAGGAGTCTCAGGATTGCTGGAGGGTGTGAAGGGGGGGACTCCTACCCCCCTCTCCATTCTGCCCCACCTGGGCATCCATGTGCAATTTACCTGTGGACCTGCAGGAGCCTGCAAAGCCACACAGATGGGGCCTTGGCAAGAGGGGGGTGGAGGAAGGCTGCTGTGAGCCCCCAAACACCCTTTTGCACCCAGAGCCAAAGGCAGAAGTGGCTCCCTCGCTGTCCCTGAGGAAGGAAGCTGTTAGCTAGCAGTCTATTTATTTCTGGAGGTGGCCCGGGCACAGGCAGCAAAAGTGGAGGCGGTGGGGAGGGGGGAGCACGTGAAAAGCTGCTAATCCTCTAATCCCAGGATTATGGCTCCATTTCAAGAGCCTCCGTCACTGCTGGCACGGAGTGGGCAGCTGGGGGCCTCCTCCGCCCCAGAGTGTGGGGCTCCCAAGGAGGCTGCTCAGTTTCTCCCCACACCCCCTCGGTGCTGAGCCTGGGGCAGCAGGGGGCCTGGAGCAAATGGGAGCTGGGCGAGGACATCATACGGGGTGGGAGAGCCAGAAGCGGGGAGCCACAAGGAAGCAAGGGGGAACCCCTTGGGACTGGGTTCCATGTTCATCTGTGTGCCTTGAAGTCACATTCCAAATGGCCTCAGACCCCACCCCTAAAATATGAGGGTAATTCTAGTGGGCTGCCTTACAGACCAGTCGTATTACAAAGATAATATAGTCAAAGCACAATGAACATGGAAGCACTAGAATAGTTTATGATTAGTGTTAACTATTTTTATTATTATTATTATTATTATTATTATTATTATTATTATTATTCAGGCATCCTTGCCCACAATGGCCAAGTGGCCTGGATCTGGCCCACTCCATTCAGCAGCTGCTAAGTTAAATATGACCAGCTCTACTCCCAGGCAAACGTTCCAGAAGCAGCAGCTGGCCTGCCCTGTTGCAACCAGCCAGGATCCTGACCCTCCATTGCTCTGCTCCCCCTCTTTTCCCATGAACACATTTCTCTCTACTATGAGTGCTGACAGGACATGGTTTCTGCATCATCAGCCACCATCTTTCAGACCAACCCCACAAGAGCTGCCCAAAGTCCAGAACCAAAGTCCAGCCAGTCCACCATTTTCCAGCAGCTGCCAGCCAGATCTGCTCCAGCACCCTGTTCTCCCAGTGGCCAACCAGATGCGCCAAAGGGGCACTCACAATCAGGATTCGAACACAAGTCTCCCCTCCCCTCCCACCAACTGGTTTTCATGACTGATCACCTGCCCTCCGTAGGCCCCTGAGAGTCACTTAGGCTACTTCCCACCACCACATCTGCTGGATAATCAACCACAACGGGACCACTTTTTTCTGCAGGAGGGAGTGGGGTCTGCCTTGGCCACTGTGGCTGCATGGTTCGGGACACATGTTTCAGCCCCATGTCCTGCTGAGCCACAACCTGTGAGCACCTGCGAAGGCGACTGGCTGCTCTGTGGCTGGGAGTCCAGCAAGCCAGGTCTTCCCTCCACTGTGCGGTTCATCGTGCGGCAGTGAGGACCAGCTCCCCCTCTGGGCCGCCTGCCTAATGAAGAGTTCGGTGACATTCGCTCCTCTCCTCCACCAGCAAGCCAGGCTGCTCTGATAAATGATATCATCACACCTATTTTGCACCTCACAATGCACAGGGCTGCCAGTGTGTGTGTGTGTGTGTGTGTGTGTGTGTGTGTATGCGCACGCCTGGCAGAGAAAGGACAGGGAAGTGTGAGGGCGATATAACTGCAAGATGACTGAGAAGGCACAAGCCCTAGTGATGGGCACCCCAAACAAAACCCCCAAGCAGGGATTCAAAGGAACAGAGGGGCCCTTTCAGGCTGGCAGTGTGTGTGTAAGGGGGAGAGAACTGTGGGGGGGGCAGCCCTTTCTTATGGAGCCAGCCCCCCCCCCAGCATAACACTTGGTACCAGCTATAGCTCCAATGGAAAAGGGCAACACAGCTGCTAGATTTGATCTCTGGGTCAAACAGCAGAGAGATAAGGAGACCAGAGGAGGCTTCACCTGGTCCAGCCTTCTTTCCCCAGAGCTGCTAGCCAGAGGCTTCTTTGAGCCTCACAAGGTGGAGGCTCGTCCCTGTAGTTTTTTTTTGGGGGGGGCAGTTTCTAGAACTCAGAGGTATACTGCACCTGAGCATTGAGGCTCCACATAAGAACATGAGAAGAGTCCAGCAGCCTCTTCTCACAGGGGCCAACCGGATGCCCGAAAGGAAGCCCACAAGCAGGATTCAAAGACGAGGCGACTCCAGAAGCCGCCATTCGGAAGCACTTACTGCCTCCAACTGTGGAAGCAGAGCAGGGTCATCATGCCTGATAGACTTATCACCTTCAGTGAATTTGTCTAATCCTCTTTAGCCTAAGTTAGTGACCACCGCTGCCTCCTGGGGGAGGGATTTCCGCAGTTTAGCTATGGGCTGCACAGAGGTTCTGTTATCTGTCCTGAATCTCCCACCATTCAGCTTCTTCGTGGGATGTGCAGAAGTTTGAGTGTCAGGCCCACTGTCTCTATTATGTCCATTGTTTATATGGAATTTCAAAAAGGTTTTGATGAAGGCAATTGACAAAAGCTTCCAAGGAGGTTTGACAGCCGTGACTCAAGCGCAGAGGTTCTCGAGTGCAGTAGTGGCTTTCGAGATAGCAGGGGAGGGGGCTCTGTTGCTCCCCAGCTTCCCAAAACTGTGGGCTGCTGCCCCTTCCCTAGAGGGGGGAGGGATAAGTTGCAGGGAGTTTGGTCCGATGTGGCCACAACAGCTGGAGCAGCTGTGCGCCGTTCGTGCCGTCTCACCGCCTGCTATGTACAGATCAGGAGCCGGTTAAAAAGCAGAAATAAATGGGACCATTCTCC